TTTAATTAAAAAAAAAATGTTTTGATATGTGTTTCTTCTTCAGCAATCAACTGTTGCTATATGTCTATTCTAGTATGGGCCACTGCACTTGAGATCTCCACCACTATTACATAGTTTATCAGAAGTGTTGCTCTTAATGGTCACATTTCTTTGATGTTTCACCAATTTTTCATAGTCTCTATTTCTCATTAATAAGTATGGCAGCAGACATGGAGAAGATAAAAAAAAAAAAAACAAGATGCATTAGAGAATTACTCTTTACAAATGACACAGCACTGACTATACAGCAGAACATCTGCAGCAGCTCATAGATTATTTTGCAGCGGCTTGCAGTGATTTTGAGCGGATTTATCTAACTTGAATAGAGAAAGGACTATTTCTAAAGATCTCCACTACAGAGAACTAGCCAATCAGAGGACCTCATTTGCAATACAAGGATGTCTGGAAACAGTATGAAAACCCTTGGCATAAACGCAGGAGAAACATGGAAAAGAGTTGAAGCAGATATTCCTGGCCTGTGAAATGGACTGCTCGTTCAGCTCAGTCGGATCCAATAAACTGAGGACAAAGGACACAAGTATCTCCAGTAAAGAAATGAAGTCACTTGCTGTGGGACCCACCTCATCTTACAGATGTGGAAAGTGTTCTAGAGACTGCGGCTCTTGCATCAGACTATATAGTCACCAGTGGTGCTGTCAAGCGTCTGCCTAGTGGCACAGGTCTCTATAGTAATACAAAACTGAAAGAAGAATTATCCATTTTTGGAGGTAGCAGACTGGGAATTTAGCTTTCTTGAATAAGGTCCATTTCTATGTGACCAATTCAATAGACTAAAATAAATTCCTGAAGGTCTGAGGCTTCCACATATTGCAGCCTCTCCTTCCGTAGCCATCCATTCTAAAATTTCTTTAACATGCAGTAAAATCAGAGGCAGATAAAATTTACTGACAGTTAAAAGACATATATTTGTCTTTTCTATCCTCTCACAATATTAACACCCAATTGCTCCTGTGAATACCTAGGATTAAATCCATGACATGTCACAAAGGCCTTAATATGGAAAAATGTAACAGTATGTGCATGTACACTGCCTCACTTAAAAAAAAAAAAAAAAAAAAAAAAAAAAATTAAATTGCTCACTACAAAAAAAAAAAAAAAAAAAAAAAAAATACGAAGACATTTGTAAATATGTGGAAAAAATAATTTATAAATAGCAAGAGAAATACACTGAAAGTATAAAACCAGCCTTAACCAGCACTGGCACTAAATTGCAAATAAGACAGGTCATGATCATATGTAATCCCCTACAAGACATGACAGTTGCGCCAAAGAATAACTGCTCACAGAAAAGACAATTTAAACCACGTGGCTTCTTTGAGATGACTGCAGCAGTAGTATATCCACCGTTAGCACACCTCTCTTCATTAGCCTTTTTCTTAAAAGTATTTGAAAACTGGGCGAATTCTGCAGGTATAGTAAAATCAGATTGTTATTCTAAGCTAAGCAAATGTATCCTCTTTCACATCAGTATGTATTCTACACCTTAGAACAGGACACAATCGACTTCACAGCCACATGTACACAAAATTAAAAATCTGTGAATCAGCCATGTGCACATGTGGACTGGCACCTGACAACAGATCATGTCCTCCAAAACTGAATTTTACTGATTTTAAGAAGGCCTTTGACAGTTACATAGAATTTCCGGTTACACAGAATTTCACTATAGAAAATTTTGGAATGCTACGGCATTTCAGCCAAAATAATACGCATTATTAGATATTTATATGATGGTTGAGAATGTGCAGTGCATGCTGAAAATGGTCTGTCTGGTTTTTGGTGGAAACTGGAGTAAAACAATGCTGCGTTCTATCTCCTTTGTTTGTTTAGAGTAGCCATTGATTGGGTAATGAAACAATGTTGCAAAGTCAATACTGGTATCGACTGTGTAGAGAATAGACAACTGGAAGATCTTAATTGTGCAGATAATTCGGTTCTGTTGAGTTGAAACAAAAATAGGACTATAAATAAATTAACAGAAAAAAAAATAGATCTTCTTCTCATTCACTTGAAACAGATTATCTATATTCACACTGTTTTCTCTAATATGAACTTCACTGTCTGTTGTAATTCACTAAGCATCTGTAGAGTTTAGCTTGCACCGATGTTTCTCTTGGCCAAATATTTTGCTTGATATGTTGTATTTGGGACAGTCCTGGGGCATGTGATCTGTTGTCTCAGGTGCCAGTCCACATGCACACATGGCTGATTCGCCAATCTTAAATTTTATGCACATGTGGCTGCAAAATTGATTGTCATGACCAAGAAGTAGAATAATGACTTGCTCTGACAAATTTATTTCAGATACTAATAACAGTTCCATGTAGATATCATGCCAGAGAACAAACCAATTTGAGTAACAGTTCATTTCACCTACTCGGGTAGCAATTTTGACTCTCAAGGAAATTATGATACACTTTGGCAAAGCAACAAGTCTTTAAAATCCTTAAAAAATATGGAGCTCCAAGTTATATAGCTTTAAGATCAAACTCTTTCAATTCTAACACATGCCAGTGAAAGTTGGAGAACTATTAATGATATGGAACAAAAGTTAAATACATTTGAAAATAAATATTTGAGAAAAATTATGAACATACAATGGGATAAATAAAAGAAAAAAGTAAGCAAACTGGAAAAATACCTGCGTTGACCGCAAAAAGACAAAGAAGGGTGGAGATATTTTGGGTATACTCTGAGACGAGATGAGAAAAGAATTAAAAAAAAACAAACACTTAAATGTCGAAACAAACGGTCTGAGAAAAAGAGGACATTCAAGGGAAACATTAAGAAGAACATTATTACAAGAGGTTAAAAATGCTGGGCTGAACTCCATGTCTGAAATCGAGAGAGTTGTCTGCAATTGAGTGGAGTGGAAGAATCAAATGCGAGCCCTATGTGACGTCAAATGGCAGAAAGAGGATGATGATGATAAGCTTGAAGTCAATGATCAGTGAAAGAAATCTCACCCTGATGAGGAGTTAAACACATGGCCAATGGACCAGGAAGCATGCATACTAGCTACTACACTACTTTTTTTTAATCGTCAGTGTTGTTGCTGCTTGTACGTAACACTTTCTGGGGTGGTGCAGGACCAGGAAAGGATTGGGGGGTCTTGAGCCTGAAGATTAAGGTACCCATCCCTGGTGAAGTCACCCCAAACAGTGCAGGTTATGTGCCCGCCGACAGAAGAAACCTCCAAAACCAGTCTCCTGCATGACTTCCGCTCTACTTCAATGATTAATGGGATACTTTCCCTGAATGCTTGATCAACATCAACAGCATAATATTAAGTGGATAAGACAACTGAGGACTGTGGCAAGATCATGACATTAGATGGGAAAAGTAACTGGGCAATGGCAAACAACATATGATGCTGTAACAAAATTCTCTTTAACAAGCCATTAAGGTCTTTTTCTCTGTAGTGTCAAAGTTGATCACTGTTTGTTTTACTTGGAACTTCCTGTTCAATAACTATGGCTGCACATATATAAATGTGAATTAATGATCTTTCTCTCAGCAAATGAAATATTACACTGACAACAATTTTCTTTTTAATGGTAATCCGAAATCTTGTGAATTTTTGTTTGTTTTTGCCACAAGTTTTGAGTTTGATTAGCCTTTCATTTGTTTCCAACTAAATCTAATGGTAGGTGTTATGAACAGAATGATCAAACTGTTTTTTTTTTATAGGGGGGGGGGGGGGGGGGTGTGTGTGTTTGTTTGTGAAAGAATATAAAACATTTTGAGGGACCAGAACCATTGAACAAGAGCAGCAGATTTTCACAGTAGGAAACAGGTTACATAAATATTGTACTTCTGCTGCAAGGTGGAGGTCACCCTTACAGAACTCAACATGAAGGTATGATTCTTTACCCAAAACACCTTTAGAAAACATTTACGAGGGGAAGTCAATAAGTAAGTCACAAATGCTTGTTTCAAAAAAAGGAAAAGATAACTCGAAAACTGTTTATTTTTACACATACAGTCCCTCTATGTTTCAAAATAATTTTTATCAACACTGCTGCCCTTGTCCAATCATTTTATCAGTCCTCCCAAACCTGCAGCATAGAACTGCATGTTCGGTTTTCTAAACCAAATTTTCACTTCACATTCAACTTCTTTGTCATTTACAAAATGAGACCCGCCAAGGTGGGTTTTCAGTGGACCAACAAAATTTCAATTGATCATGCATTATATTGAATGCTGAACCACCTAAGCACCCTATTGCAGCTGCTATAAAAGTTACCGTTACTCACCTGCCCGTCACCTCTAATCATATTCACCCGCTGCATGGATGCCGCAATCTCAACAGGACGACCAGATTTTAGAGACCTTGAGAAAAACTGTTTACCTAGCAATGCACTGCTTTACAGGATAAACATTTGTCAGTATAAACAAGAAGCATTTCCTTATGAATGTCCTTTGCAGGCAGCCCTTTTGCCACCCCCCCCCCCCCCAAAAAAAAAAACACCACATAGCACATTGTTCTTTAAGGGTACACCCTGTAAATACAGTCACCATTTAGTTTCTGTGTTGCGCATGCATGCAACATCTAGTGCCACCTAAAGAACAGAGACCACTAACTTCATTTTCCTGTCATCCCATAACCATTTGTAACTTATTTATTGACTTCCCCCTCGTAAATATGTGAACATCTGACAGTACAACCATGTTTTTCTGGTACTTCAAGTCTAGTAAAATTATTTATGACAACAGTTCTGGGATTTAAAAACAAAAGTCATATGAAAACGCTACTATGACATTAACTACAGTTTTGAGGACAACTCTAAACAAATATTTGTTGGCTAAGCCTCATTCTGAATAGATTCTGAAGATTTTGCATCGGGTGACATGAATATTGAAAACATATACATGTACACAAGTCTGGTCCACCAGCAACATCCTGGGCAGAAGATCCTCTGCACTCGACGTACCTTTCGCTATAACTCTACATCAGTCTCCGCTATTAGAGGCTCAGCTTCATGCTTCTTGCTTCCTGAAATACAATAAGCAATTTCAAAAATAAAATGGTATCTAAAAATTACAAGTGGCACAAAATTAATTCAATAGATTCGGCTGCAGAAGTAGGAGACCTTAAAAACTAAAGAAGCAAATGATCATAAATATGTTCAACATTTGTATACATTAAGTATGTACCACTTCATACTGCAATGTTCATCTAGTATTAAAGATACAAATAGGTTAATTTAAAAAAAACAACCAGCCTATGATCAATTAAAGTGGATTAATATGCACAAGACACTAGTAAATGAAACTATTTTTCCAACTGAAGAGCTATGACAGATTACTCCAGTGTCACCAATAGAGAAAGGATTAAGAATGCTGTAACCTAGCTGGCTTGTTCTAAGAGGGGACAATACGAAACAAGGACAGCTAGATTGAGACTGCCTATCTCATACTGTAGAAATGTTAGCTACAAAACTCAATCATGAACAAGTTTTCAGCAAAGAAAAGAAAAATAACCTACGTCAACCAAAATGGAATAAGGACCCTCTCTTATAAGAGGTATTATGCAAAGTGAAGAATGCCATAAGGAGCCTAGATAGTCAATTTACAATTCCCCCCCCCCCTCCCCAGGAAAATCCCAAGAACTGGCACCTAGAATGTCAAAACTATGCATTGATAAAAACAGTACACACAAAAAATGGAATATTATGGGATTAACATTTTGGTATTATCCCCAAGAAGATGGAAGGGAAGAGATAACAGGCTTCTAAATATAGATGATGACTAATGCTGTTCTAGGACATACTGAAAAAAATGCCTCCAAACAGTGAAGGTGTGGGCCCAAATGCCATCAGTAGAGCCAGCAAAAGCAATAAGATAGCGGGAAGCAGTGTGGTATATAATAACAACAATAGGCACTTTAAATAAGACACACAAAAAAACACACACCAAAACATGAACACGATTCAGTTTTAAGTGCAAAATATACATACACAGAAATAAAAAATTAATCCCCCCCCCCTCGCAAAAAAAAAGGAAATATAGGCAATCGGTTTTGACAGAAGGCCTAAATGTCAAGACATCATTATGATGAAATGATCACCAGGAAAAATGGGCTTAAAGTAATGACCCAAAATAAAGAATTATCCAGACATTTTGTAGCCCTAAATCAATATCTTAGGAGGAGGCGTTTTTACACATAAAGTGATGTGGTTAACACTAGAACAAAGCCCTGGTGTGGGTTCCAAAACCCTATTTTGGGGTGAAGGGAAAAATTACACTGCCAAACAAGCAATTCTCGAAAGTTGACTATTTAAGACAGTTAAAACCAGATGCGCTAGGCAGAGAGGTGCAGATATAGCAGTGTAAACAAAGATCTACGAATAATAAAGAATATTTATTGTCAGCACACAGCAGCTATAAGACTTAACTGTTTAGATACATTTCAGTGCATACAGGGGGGTGTACGACAAGGATGTGTACTGTCACCTGATTTATTTTCACTATACAGTGAATATATAATGGGATCTTTATTTGATATGCCCGGAATTGTGGTTGGTGGGCACAATATAAACAATTTACGTTATGCTGATGACACAGTCTTGATAGCAACAAGTCAGAAAGAACTACAGGAAATGATAGACACTGGTGGTAGAAAATGGAAGAATGGGCTTCAGTTTGAATAACGGGAAGACAGAAGTAATGGTGGTATCAAAGAAAAGAATTATTCCTAAATGTGTAATAAAAGTCAATGGTGTTATTCTGGGACAAGTACAGAAGTTTAAGTATTTTGGAAGATGTATTACTGAGATAAGAAACAGAATAGGACAGGCAAAAACTGCATTTTTATAAAATAAAGAATATCTTATGCAATATATCTCCGTCACTGAAGGTTAGAAAACAGAATTCTGGCTTGCTACATACATCTAGTTTTAACATATGGCTCTGAGTCCTAGACAATTGGTAGGCAGGCCAAACAATTTCTTGAGGCTTCAAAGATGTGGTTTTACAGAAGAATGCTTATAATACTCCAAAAAAGAGCAACCAAGAGGTGGGAGCACAAAGACAACTTATCACAGACATCAGAAGGAGACAGTCATCATTTTTCTGCCATCTTATGAGAAGAGGGAAAATGGAATATGTTGTGACCATTAGAAAGATCTGTGGAAGGATGGATAGAGGAAGACAACGCAAGACGATTCTTGACAGTCTTGTTGTATGGCATAGAGGTGTGTCAGTACACGAACTGATACATGCTGCAGGAGACAGCGGAGTCGACAGGCATGATCTCCCACGCCAGTTGACAAGGCACCTGATGATGATGATGTTGAAACCACAACACAATACGTTAACCACCTTTCTGTAGACCAAAATACAAAATCAAAGTTAACTAGATTTGTACTGACAAGAAATTCTAACCGCCTTTATACGAAAAAAAAAAAGTGTTTGGTGTAGATGGAGATTCAGATAACATGTTAATCTGTAAATAACTAAGCTGAAACCTTAGAGATACATAACCTGTTACAAATATGAAAAACAAAGAAATGTAGGATATCTCATATATGAAGAAACTAAGAAATAATGTATAATCACAGACTCTAATAAGTGCCAGGTCCTGCAGTAGTAGTAGAAAAAGTGAATACGAAATACTGCTGGCGACAGCCTGAAGGCATTTAGAAAGAACTATGTACAGCAGGCATTTGAAATGGTATTGTAAATATAAGTCACTGGGGGGTGGGGGGAGGGGAAAGTTATTTTAACAAAGGCAAAACCTGAGCTACTAAAGTCAGACATAAAACAAATATGCAAAAGTTAATAAAGACATTGACAAAAACTTTTGAACTGATCAGAACCAAATGATACCTCAGATATCCAGCTAACAGAGGCAAGGGGGAAACAATTTCAACATCAACAAGTTAACTGAATATGATGCTAAATTTTAGTGTAAACAACGACTGGCTTAGACTAACCAGCAGCTTCTTCCTGAAGTTCAAAAGAGGCCATGGCTGCTAACTTCTGCTTTTTTGCCACACCGCAATGTGGATTCTCTGGCATGAAGACAGCCACCAGTAAAGCCATAATGACTAGTACAGCACCAAATGCAAATGGAGGACCAGGCACCACAATCTGAAAAGAGTGCAGTATTGAAACTTCTAGAAACAATGTCATAAATCAGGACTTGTTAAACAATCACTTTCATGTCAAAATTTAAGAACTGCGAAGAAGACAATGTAGTAAGCAGAATAGACTCATTTAAATAATAAAAGAAAAAATATGAAAACATTCTTATTGTAAGTATGCGCAACAAACCCCAAGTGCTGGAACAAAGCTGAAGTCCAGAAATGGACTCACAACCAGGGCTTTCTGCTAGAGTTTGCATTCTTCTTCTTCTTCAGCATTCCGAGCCCTTGAGGTTCATTGCTGCAGATATCACCCGCCTCTCATTCATCTGGTTGGCCTTCTCTTCCCAGTTAGCGACATTAAGTGTTTGCAGGTCTGTCTGGACATCTCTCCATTGTCTTCTTGGTCTGCCTCGTGGTCTACGATCATCCATCTCCCTTGTGTATACAGTTTTCACTTCTCTGTCATCTGACAGTCTCTCAGTATGCTCAACCATTTCAGTCTATTATCTCTCATGATGCCAGTCATCAATGGTGATTTAAACAGATTATAAATTTTGTTGTTGCTTTCCACTCTCCATTCCCCGCTGTTTGCATCTTTGCTGGGTCCAAAGATTCATTGTAAGACTCTGTTTTCGAAAACCTGTAAGAAGGCTTCATCTCTTTTAGTTGTGCTCCAAGTTTCAGAGCCATATAAAATGATAGGTGTTATCAATGTTTTATATATTTTGATCTTGGTGTTGCGAGGCAGACACTTTGACTTTAGCAGATGTTGAAGGGGAAAGTTTACTTTATTTCCGGATGTGTATTCTTGATTGTATTTCTTCTCTTAGCATATTGGAGCAGCTGAAGTTTGCACACAAGTACTTATATGTTTCTGTTCGTTTGATTTTCAAATTATCGACTTGTATTCAGGATGAGTTTATATCCTTTCCCTCTCTAGTTATTATCATGTATTCTGTCTTATCTTGATTGATAACTAGTCCCATTTTCTGAGTTCATTCTTTTAAGAGAGTCAGTGTTTTAACAGTCTCTAGTTCATTTTCTCCAATGATATCAATATCATCAGTATATCCAAGTATTCTTGTAGATTCTCCTACAGTACATTCTTGTTTCAATTGCTTTATAATTTTCTCCAGGGCCAAGTTGAAGAGATGTGGGGACAGAGAATCACCTTGCTTTAAACCAGATGTTATTTGAAAAGGGGCTGACATTCTGCCTTTATATATTACTTTATTACAAGTGTCTTCCATACATAATTTAGTCATGGTAATTAATTTCTTTGGTTTTCCAAAGTCTTTCATAGCATTCCATAAACTTAATCTATGTGTACTATCATACACCTTTTTAAAATCCACAAAAACATTATGTATATCTCTTCTATATTCCCAATTGTGCTCTGCTATTTGCTGTAAAATGAATATTTGATCTACTGTTGATCTGTTTTGTCAGAAACCCGCTTGGTAATCTCCCAATATGTCTTCAACGTATGGCTTTAGCCTGTTTAGCAGTACCACCGATAATATCTTATAGCTTGTAGATAATAGTGATATTCCTCTATAATTTTCACACTTATAGTGAAACTTAGAACACTTAAAGTTTACAGTCAGTGAATGCAAACAAGCAAACACACAACAGTAAGTAAATCAGTGAGCAAATGACCCTTTTCATGCTAATGGCACATCGGGCATACAACACAATTTCTAGGCACTTGATGGGTGAGCGGTCGACGGGATGCCATCTTTATTTCGCAGGACATTTCTTGGTATCTGTTTTAGGTAAGGTCAACCCAAAAGCCAAGGTCACATATAAAAAAAAAAAAACTCTGCCCTGTGTAGACTCAAAGCCAAGATTTTCAGGTCAGCAGGCAAACATCTGGTCACTACACTAGCATGGCTCTCTTGAAAAAATGTATAACAACCTTACACTGTTGGTTTCACAGTTTTCTCTTGCCTCTCTAAATAACATGTTTTAACAAAATGTTTTAATAGAAGTCACAATTGCCTCCATAAGACAGATATTTTGTCCAGTGTCAGACAACTTACCTGCAGAGCATTGTAGGCAGAAAGATGGGACTGATTGTCAAGTTTGTTTACTACTGGTTGCAGCGCAGCTTTCTCATTCAAGTCAATGTTAAACAGGTAAAATATGAAACCAAACAGAGCTGGGCCTAGTCCATTACAAAGTCCTCGAATGCCTGTTACTATACCTTGAGCAACACCTGCAAAGATAATGGAATATTTAATCAACTAACCAGGAGGAAATGCAGCAAGATTAGTGGCCACACATTTAACAGAGAGTACAGAAAGTAGCCTAACTGATAGAGGCATACAACATTTAGGTAGAGAAAGCTAAAACTTTGAACTATATCTGACCATTAAATTAACACCACATTCATTCACTTAATCATTGTCATATAGGGCTCACAGTCTATTCCTCTATTCCATTTTGTCCTTTGCAATCAATTCAATATCATGGATTGAATCTAATCCTTCATCTTTGGCCTCTCTCATCAACATTCATGTCAGGGTTTCTTTTAGGTGTCCTCACCTCCTTAATCCCTTTATTTCCCATTTTAGTGCCTATTTGGTGATCCTCTGCTTCTTTCTTCTCAGGATGTTGCCAAAAGCAGAGCTCTGTTCTTTTGATACTAGTGATTGCCCAGACATTTCTCTTATTTTTTTCACTTTTTTTTTTAAATTTCTCCCATTTTATTTTCAATATTTTTTTTAGGCACTGATTTTCAACTGCATTTAACCTTTGTTCCATGTTTCTCCAACTTTCACTGGCATGCGTTAAAACTGAAATAAGATTTGAATTTAAAATATGCAACTTGGTTTTAAAACTATATAATTCAAAGTTCCATATTTTGTTCAGACTTTTCAAAGCTGCAGTTGCCTTGCCAATGTGTGTCATCATTTCTTCCTGTGTATTTCCTTCACTATCAAAATTACTACCTAAATAAGTCAACTGATTATAAATAGCTTTCAACTCTAGTGTTACATCTGCTTGATTTGTTACTGGTGCTGCCATTAGTCTTTTCACAAATTATTTGTAGCCCAACCTTTGATGTTATATTTGCTAAATCATCTGTTTTTCTTTGCATGTCATTGTTACTGGTGCTGCCATTAGTTTTTTCACAAATTATTTGTAGCCCAACCTTTGATGTTATATTTGCTAAATCTGTTTTTCTTTGCATGTCATTGTTACTCAGCAGAACATTCAGCAAAATGGAAATCTTCCAACTGTGTGTGTTTTACCTAATCAATATCTGTGTTTTCAACACAACATTTGTGTCATCACCCAGTCACTGGTTATGCCCAAATAGCAGAGGAGATCTTCTTCTTAGTGTTCAAAGGCTGTGAACACTGGCAGAAAGTTCTGGTTGTTCACCCACTTCTTGAGATAACATTCATCTCTGTTTCATCCAGTTTCAATTTCAACTTTAACCATCGTCTGTTCACACTGCACACCCTGAACCTTCATACTTGCCTTAATAATATTCTAAAATTCCCCATGGTGATGTTCTGTGTAGTCTATCAAAAGCCTTCTTAAAGTAGATGAAATTCAAAATAAGAGGGTTTTTTAAACAAATTCTTTGAAAAAAAGTCTCAAGGCGAATGTTTGATATAAGCAGCATCTTACAGGTCAAAAACCTGCCGTTGCTCTCTCAGGATTTTGTCTACTGAGAATTATTTAAAAAAAAAAATCTTTGACATTACTGACAACAGAGTAATTCTTCTCCAGAATTTTAACAATGATTCATTTCTTCAATTGATCTGAGATTTTTTTCAGCCCATATTCTATTTCAAAAATCTTTCACCCGGTTTATGGTTACATCATCTGCTGCCTTGAACATTTCTGCAGTAATAGCATGATCATTGCTGCCCTACTACAGATTTCCTTGTCATCTATATGTCATTCATTTAATGGTAATATGGTCAACTAAACTTTTAAATGATATTTATAATAGTGGGTATATTCTAAATGACCTTTTAAAATCCATATTTACAGCTCTGCCTAAAAAACCAGGCACTATAAAATGTGAAGACCATCGCACAATAAGTCTTATGAGTCACATGACTAAGATTTTACTGAAAATAATTATGAGAAGAATAAGAAACAGAATTAAACAGAAATCAGCGATGAACGATGTGGATTTGTAGAAGGAAAAGGTACAAACAATGCCATATACATCCTTAGGACATTGTCAGAAAGAGCTATAGAAGTAACGACTGATCTTGAACATATGCTTCATAGACTATACAAAAGCATTTGACTGTGTAAAACATGAAGAAGTAATCAAACTGTTAGAAAAATTAAACATTGATGGGCAAGATCTATGAATAATAAAGAATATGTATTGGCAGCACACAGCAGCTATAAAAATTAACAACTGTTTAGGTACATTTCAAAGCATAAAGAGGGGCGTACAACAACGATGTGTACTGTCACCTGATTTGTTTTCAATATACAGTGAATATATAATGAGATCTTTATTTGATATTCCCGGAATTGTGGTTGGTGGGCACAATATAAACAAATTACGTTAGGCTGATGACACAGTCTTGATAGCAACAAGCCAGAAAGAACTACAGGAAATAATAGACATTGTGGTTTTAGAAAGTGGAAGAATGGGCATCAGTTTGAATAATGGGAAGACAGAAGTAATGGTGATATCAAAGAAATGAATTATTCCTAAGTGTGTAATAAAAGTTGATGGAGTTATTTTAGGACAAGTACAGAAATGTAAGTATCTGGGCACATGGATAACATCAGATGGAAGATGCATAACTGAGATAAGAAACAGAATAGGACAGGCAAAAACTGCATTTTATAAAATGAAAAACATCTTGTGCAATATATCCTTGTCATTGAGAGTTAGAAAAAGAATTCTTGCTTGCTATATACATCCAGTTTTAACATATGGCTGTGAATCCTGGGCAATCGGTAGGCAGGCCAAACAATTTCTGGAGGCCTCGGAGATGTGGTTTTACAGAAGAATGCTTAGAATACCTTGGACAGCCAAAAAGAGCAACCAAGAGGTTTTGAAAGAGACGGGAGCCATGTTATGAGAAGAGGGAAAATAGAACATGTTGTGACCACTGGAAAGATCTGTGGAAGGAGAGATAGAGGAAGACAACGAGAGAAGATGTTTGACAGTCTTGTTGCATGGCAAGGAGGTGTGTCGGCACACGAACTGATACATGCTGCAGGAGATTGCAGATTATGGAGAGGCATGATCGTCCACGCCAGTCAGCAAGGCACCTGATGATGATGATCATATTAGCCTCTCCATCACAACTCGCTGGCTCTTGTGGACTAGGTCTATTTAAAATCTCATGCAAGTCTTGTGTCTATTTCTTCTTCTGCTTACTATCAGAAGAAAGCATTGTACTATCCTTACTTTAATGGGACCAGATTTTACTATTTCCACTCTTAGTTGCAAGTTCTCTTTCTTTAACTAATCTATCAAGATATTCTTTCTTATCTCACCGTGCATAACCTTTGAATTGTTTATCTTTCTTGTTGTAATCTTCTTTAGCCCTGATTTCTTGTTCTGCTGTTTTAGAATTGCATATAGCAAGCTTCAGTGCTTTTCTTTCCTAAATACATAGCCATGTCATTACTTATCCAAGGTTTTCTATCATGATTGATGGTGGAGATAAATATTCAAACATCAGTGTACAGACTAAACACACAAGCCTCCACACTAAGGTACGTGTGTCATATCAGAAGTCATGACTACATGAGAGACCTGTACATACTACTGACCTTGCTGGTCGGGACTGGCATGAGCTGACACAAAGGAGCTTATGGACGGGTAAGCTATACTAGACATGGCAGCCATGGTTCCAGCAAACCAGATGATCCTGCAAAGAATAAAGCTAAAGTTAAAGTCCAGAGAACTGACTTCACTGACACCAGTTATCCCATACGGTTTGGTCTTTCCCCACCGAACAGCTAGCCACCCGCCGAGCGTCATACAAAGCATGAACTCTAAACTCCATGACTTTCACAGCACGAGGCTATTGGCTTGACCACTTGGAGACGGAGACACCCACCTGTAAAGACAGACAACTGTGACTCAGCTGCATTCAGGTTCATACTGACTGACTGATAATGTCAGGCTTCAGATAATACAGCCACACAAAATACATACAACGAAATTGAGAATATCATCAGAACTGTCTTTGGTTGCCAAATAATATTTCTGTACTCAGTGTTTTAATTTCATACTGAGGCAGCCGTTTTCCCTCCATCTTTTAATTTACCAATACAGGTGTCTATGTACATTGTTTGTTAAATGCCTATTACATCTGTATTCCTCGCCTCACAAACTAAATACATTTGTTATGAGTTAAATGAAAGCAACACTTCAAATACTTAATTTAATCTAAGTCTGTATCAATTCTATCAAGAAATTAACATTTTATTAATGGCTTCTGTCCATATTTCTTCATTCTGCAAGCATACAGCAGTAACTGTTCTTTACACCACAGGAACATACACTAATCATTATTTCTATCAACATTCATTGACAACATATTTTTGAATGTTCCAGTTTGTTATACTATTTCTCCATCATCAAACATTTTTCTGAGGAGTGATTTCAATAATTCAGCAACATATAAAACTAATAGTCTAGTTCATGTTTTTATGCTGTGTTTGATTATCTTAACGAGTTAACAGTAACATTCACTACATTGTGTTCTTCTTTTGGCTAATCAAGAATAGCAACGTGACAAAAACAATCAGATTATCATTAAGTTGAACAGCATTGAACCCCCATTCCTCCCTTCCCTTTACAAACAAAAACCCTCAAAGTAGATGTATAACTACAATCATCTGTATATTATCACAAACACGTCAGCATATGAAACATTTTACTAGCCCCAAACTACTGAAAACACAACAGAATATGGAACAGAGAGTTGGCCTCAAATCAGAAATTCATTTGGAAAAGGTTAATTCTATCTGCCAGAGGGACAAGAGGCGGGTGTCAAGGTCAGAGCATGTGTGTATAAAGGTCATTTAACTAGTGTTGACACGCATGCTTCATTTTACTTCTCATATTCGCCTCCGTCTCCCTGAGCTTGATAGTTACCAAGAGCTAAGAGTGCTGTGATACAGGTCATTGTTGAACACTCAAAGCACATTAACACTGCAATTATAGTCAGACGACAACGAGAACAGACTGTCTCTCAGAATGTGGTCATAATTCACATGAGGAAGTCTGATGTATATATGGCATGTTCATCTCTGTTACTATTAACTTAATTATCTTACCATTGCTACATCATTCTAAATACCCCAACATATAAGCTAACTCTGTCTAACACAATAACTTTAATCACTACCCATGTAGCATGGTCACAATGCAGTTGCCCAGACCGTCCAGTCGACGACTGCCCTGGGCCGACTCCCACCTGAGCTTTCTTCAGGTAGTTCATGTGGCTGGTGCGCACATCACGAAAATCAAATGTTTAGTGCTTTGCTGGCAGTCCCATATTCACCCGATTTCCACAATACCATGATCATGACACCATCTATGTCAAGCTCTGATATCAGATTACAAAGAATAGCAAATGCAGGCAGGCAATAAATAGTACAATAGTTTTAGTTGCATGTCCTCTTCAGGATCAAACCAACCAGGCATTATTGATTGACTGTGGTTTAGACAAGTGAACAAAATAAACAAAACAAGTAGCAGGCAATCTTTACAATCTACTATATTCAGAAACCTGAAAGTATAGTTTCTGACCTCTAAACACCAAGTATAAATTAAAGTCTGCAGTAACATCATAACTCACACAAACTTACCAGTGCTGCGATGCAAAACCAAAACATGTCAACTGTATGATCTCAAAGACAAGGCCAAACATGATTGTCTGTTTATGCCCAATGTATTTCATCAACACAGCCAAAATCAAAGTCTGAAAATAATGGATAACAATTTATTCTGAATTAAAAGTTAGTGTGGTAATAGTAACACATCTGTCTTCAAATAAAATTGGAAAAAACAAAAAAACATTAAGAGTATGTGAGAAAACAGCAATCAACATAATGACATATGAACACTGCAAGCATGGATTTTAACAATTGCCATTTTATGAGCAACATTTATTTCAACAACTTATGTACACAATATTAGATCTTGAAAATGATTTTTATGTAATAGCTATTGTAACAAACAACTAACAATTTCACACTGGCAACGCTTACCAAAAAAATACTTAAAAAAAGCCACGATTCCGTTAGAATTTAAGAGAATAATCCACTAAAAAAAAAAAAAAGTTTTACTGGGGCACATGTCACTAATACATTGTTTAAAAATGTATTATCTCAATAAAATACATTTTTTGTTGTTGAAAAAATATAAAGATATTTGAAAGGATAAACACGAACAGTTTAAAGCATTAAATGGAATACATCTCTCAGGACTCCCCCAGGGTTCTGCAATTTCACCAGTGTTCTTCAACGTGTATACAAGCAAGATTGCAGAACTTAAGTACCAGGTGTTTGAAGGATATTGACATTTGTAGATGATGTTCTTGCATACAGGCAGGGGAGTGATAGGTAACGGATAGCCCAAGAGCTACAGGCAACTGTAGACAAAGTGCGACTGGTATGCCGAAGTGGGTGCTGTCACCAACTTAGAGGCTGTTTTGTAGTGCTTTCTGGACAATAGAATTGTAAGAGAAAGCAAACTGAGGTACCTGTGTATCAGTTTCAATAGAAGCCTATCCTTTAGGGATCATGCGGAGACAGTTGCCGTGAAAAACTAAAAAGGACTCGATGCTTTCAAGAATACAGCAGCAATGGACATGGAATAAAGAATGCTGTTTACAATGTTCCAGCATGTGATCCTGTCAGTGATAGATTATGGTCTTGGAATGCTTACCATATCAAAGTCAGCTGATAAAACAAACACATTCTGGTATATTCAAGAGATACCCCGGTAGTATGTATGCGATATATGCTTGTACTGCCTACTATTGCAGATAGGTCCAAAGTTCTGCAAGCAAAGTCACATCTCAGAGTGGCTGCAGACAAGAAGCACCTCCTGCATGAAGACCTGCGTAGAGCTAAGGAACAAAGACTAAAAAGAAGAAGGTTTTGGATGACACAAGCTGAAGACACAATTGAACATGTGTGCAGGCTTGATAAATTTGGGCTAGGAGAGGAGTGGGTCAAAGTGTCCGAGCCAGTTTCAGACGTGTGTAGGGTTCTTATCGCTTTAGGCCGTGAGTGCAGGGACTGGCCAGCTGGTGCTACAGAATCAGAATGATTAATGATAATTCATGCCCGGGTGATGTGATTATCTATACAGATGGTTTTGTATTGAGGGGCAGATGAAGTGTATAGAGGTTCATAGCAAAGGCAAATGGACGTTGCTCAGTGCAACAAAGTCTAGCATATGATATCACAACATTTAGTTTGAGAATAGAGGTGGAGGCAGTCTCTGAAAAACAGCAGTACACACATGCCGTGATTGTAACTGACCCACAGAGCATGTTGAGAAAGATGGAGACAGGCATGCTCCGTGCAGAGTGGTAAGCATAATTTCAGGGTCCTGGGTAGTTAGTGCCCTTTGGATATTTTTTTAAGGTAATGCCGGTTCTACACCACTTAGTGGTGAATTGATTTATGACAAGCCAGATGTTGCGTGGGCCCTTTGGGTACTAGTGAAAAGTGCTGAGGCACAAATAGATCATTAGGGTCTGAGGAGAATAGTTCTACGGGAAGTTACCAGGGGATGTGGCCGATGCTCAACACTCAAGAGAGGGGCGAGACGAATACGCAATAAGGCAGTTACTGGTACTATTGGAATTGGAAATCTTTGCTTGCTGCTGAAGATGGGGCACTTATGGGGGTGTTGTGCTGTGATGTCGACACGATTTAGCATTCTTGGAGCTTAGAAAAACATAAGTTTTGGGTAAATCATGCTGTGACCCAGTTACCCCTACTAATGAGGCTTAGAAGAAACTGATGGCAACTCAACTTTAAAAAAAAAGAAGAAAAAAGAAAAATCCCTATAATGCTACTTTTATTTAATATTTATAATCATTTTCCGACCTGTTAAACACTTGTGCAGGTGCAAAAACAGCCAACAGTATTTACTATGCATCTCGTGAACAGGACATTATGGATGCTATCTCCAACAGGATAAGTACAAAACTATTCAAATTAGTGTTAGCATAGGGACTAGTTCAATTGTCTACACCTCAAAACAGGACACAATCGACTTTGCAGCCAAGTACACAATTTAAGATTTGTTAATCACCTATGTGCACATGTTGATTGGTACCTGAGATAACAGATCATGTCCTCCAAGACTGCTCCAAATACAACATATCAAGGCAAAATTTTGGGCCAAGAGAAACACCACTGCAAGTCAAACTTTACGGGTCGCTGACTGAATTACAAAAGACAGTAAAGTTCATACTAGAGACAACAACTGCAGATACAGATATCTATTTCAAGCAAACAGAAGAAGAAGAAGAATTGTCTACAAAGAGGGAAATTTGGATTCCATTTTTAGCAGAAACAGGATTATTCTTTCTGATTAGTAGAGCCTCTGGGTTAACCCAGTCTTATAAAATGGCAACTTTATAATGGGAAGGAAAGGTGGCAATGAAAGGCTACTCCACACCATTTTGTGGTGGCTTAAAACATGTGAAGGCAAAACACTTCACACTGCAATGGTAGTATCTGCCGTAAGACCATCTTTACTTTATGTAACCTAATGACAATACAAACAGCTTATTCACTACTCACCTGTGCTAGTACTGACAAGACACCTACAACAGCAATGTAAGATGCAACTTCTTCCTTTGAAAAGCCCATCAACTGAGTAAGCAAAAGGGATGTTTATAAGAAAGAAAATACATGTTTACTTCTATCTGACAACTTAAAGTATACAACTGTCTGGCTTTCTGTGCCACGTATATAAAAGATTTCAATATGAACTTAAAGAGTAATTTGAGTACTGTACCAGGCAGATTTGCTAGTGTGATTTCTTTTGCAAAGTTTATATATGTTAAAAATGTTTATAGAATAATTTGTCAGACTGAATTTAAATGTATGAACAATCCTAACACACTCAAAGTTAAAGGTTAAAGTCAAGAGTATTGACCTCATTGCACCAGGTTTTATTCCATATGGTTCAAGTCTCTCTCGACAGAACGGCTAGCCGCCTGCCAACAGCACCATGCTTCAAGTCTCTCTCAACAGAACGACTAGCCGCTTGCCAACAGCACCATGCTTTAAGTCTCTCTCAACAGAACGGCTAGCCGCCTGCCAACAGCACCATGCTTCAAGTCTCTCTCGACAGAACGGCTAGCCGCCTGCCAACAGCACCATGCTTCAAGTCTCTCTCAACAGAATGGCTAGCCACCTGCCAACAGCACCATGCTTCAAGTCTCTCTCAACAGAACGGCTAGCCGCCAGCCAACTGCACCACATAAAGCACAATCCCCACAAGTAAAAATTGCACCCGTGAACCAAAAGATACAGTCGTAAAATGAATCCATGACCTTTACAGTGTGAGGCAAACTGCTTGACCACTTTACCATGAAGACCCCCAACATATTCAATAACAATTAAATATGAATTCATATGTTAGTATACTGAAGCACTTGTGTAGCCTGACAGCAGCAGATGGAATATATATTCAAGTAGTTTAATGTATAATTTACTATGCACTTAGTGTCAATAGAGGCGAGAGAGCACTTAAGGGTTATAGAGTGCATATGATGATGCATGGAAGTGAAAAGTAGGTAGTCAGCAAAGAGGTGACAAGTTATCAAGCAGAAATATGGTTTGATTGAAGAATGACGAGAAAACTTTGTGCAGATAAAACATGTAATGAAGATGTCTTGAAAGAAATGCACAAACAACTTGAATGCTGGAGGTGTAGAGATTCTAAGACACATACACAAAGACACAGTAATATGTTCACACCTATCCCTCTGAAAACTTGCTGTTATGTTCTTACTTAAATGCTTCAAACATGCGGCTCAGTGCCAAACTTGGGATATGTTCTGTTCCAGATATACCCTTTATTCTACAATTTTTAAAAGCAACACCGGGATGACATTCTGTAATGATTATCCAATCTTTCCCTTAAAGAATGTTTTTTTTTTCTCAGTTTGCTTGAACAGGGATATGAGAGACAATATTCAGCCATGCCAGCTCTTTGTATTTTTTGATTAATCTAAAAACCTTTGTGTTCAGTTTGTCTTTTGTTGTTGTAAACCAGGACTATTCAACGGGCGGCCCGTGGAGGCCTAGCAGGTGGCCCGGGGATGATGCCAACTGAGTCATATTAACGTTCTTTCTAGGCTGGAGCTTGGACCTCTGGTTCGTGAACAATCCCCATTCTCAAAATGTTGGCCCCTGAGTAAACTTAGCTGAAAAGCCCTGTTGTAAATGAACAATCAGATGGTACAGTTTTCTTGATCTTTCCAGTGCTACTTAATTGACTAAACAGGCCATACACGTGTATGGAAGTACAGAATGCTGAGCAGAACATCAAGATAAAACTGTAATGCCAATCAACTAGGTACGGTGACAAAAATATCACTGTAAAAGCATGCCTCAGTATTACTTAACTATGCACTCTATAATAAAACTAACTATTCAATAAACGCGATGAAACTAATTATATGGATCTACTGTTTGAAAAACAAACGAAGCACTCCTCGTCGAGACAGATGAAAGTCATAAACTTATTAGAGCAATTAGACGTAGACAGTCAATATTTGTGGACATGTTATGAGAAGAAATCGACTCGAGAACCTGGTAACTGGCAAGATTGATGGAAGGAGAGCAAGAGAAAGGCAAAGAGATAAACACCTGGATGGCCTGGCCAAATGTATGGGGTGAGACAAAAACATGGAACTGATCTGGGATTCTGGCGATCGTTTGAGATGGCAAACCCTGACAGCCTACACTTACTGGCACGACAGATGATGACTGTCTCTTCGTCTTAGCAATTCTCATCAACTTCACCTTATGCTGATCACGTGTCCACGTATATTCTACCAAATGTGATGAAAACTGACATCTCAAAAGTTACCCTTTTCAGTAATTTATGAACATTTCTCATTAAAAAAAAAAAAAAAAAACAACATCTGACTGCATTTTATAATGATTTAAACAAGTTAAAAAAGCCAAAAAAATAATTTACTGTATATATGTGTGTGTGTGTGTGAACATGGCATATATAACTATGTTTTTATATTTACCAGACAGAATCAACAACATATTCAAGTTTAACATTCATACACCACAATACCCACCAATCTTAAATATACAAATATAGATGAATACTCTCCAGCCTCTGGCAGGTAGGAAAGGAATACTGTAATGCACAACAGAAGAATAAGAATATCCTGACCGACTTTCTTTAGAGCCTGGAAGATTCAACAAAAGGTCAGCATTATAGACTGTTATAGATTGAAAATATTTGATGACACTAGTGAACTCAAAACGTAGTTTTATGGTCCTAAATATGTTTGCTTGTTGTTATTATTGACCCAAGGTTTTGTCCAACTTTCTGACTTACACAATGTTCATTTAGTGCTTTCCTCTACTGACAATTTGATCTTAGAGTTTACCAAAGCAATTCACTCTAGAACGGTATATGACATTTTTTATGACCAAACAGAAACAAAGAAACAACCAGAACAGAGCAGGCAGTGGTAAATCTATACCTGTCTATGACTGAAAAATGGAAATGCTTTAACCCTATTTGTTGAAGCAAGTGCAGAGTTCCCATTCGTATGGTTCCAGTAACAGTCCGACTGTATATCCATCTCACCTTTCCCTTGAGTGCTGAGCGCCACCCAGATCCCCTAGTCACTCCTGACAGTACCATTCTCCATAATGATCTTTTTTGTGTCTCCACACTGTTTATCTGCTCCCAAAGGACCCTAAGTACATCTGACTTTCTGTACGTAAGCGTTTGGTTGTTGTGTCACTTAAAAATCAATATTTAATGGACTGCGTAATTTTTACTGTGCTTATACCACACCAATCACCAGTTCAAACACAATGGCAATGTGTTCCACTGTCAGATGCTTCATGGAAGTTGATGTTTTTGTTGCATTTTGTGTAATTAATACATGTTTGATGTATTTGCGGCATATACAGAACACTTAGTTTCCAGAAAAAAAAAAAAAATATACACCACAACCAATTTGCAATAAAAAACACATAACACACCATTTTACAAAGGTCAGAAATAATTTGCCTTTGAACTTATTTATCCATACTTTTACATTTGTTTTTATGTGTGTGTTTGTTGATAAAGAGAGTGATCAATTAACAAGATTGTGATCCAGTCACTTCTATAACTGAGGCTTAAGAGAAATATGATGTGAACATGGTTGTGAAAATGCTACTGGGGTCTTAAAGGAACTTCTTTTCCCCCCAAATGCTATTATTAGTTAATATATTGGCCTCCTAAACACTTCACATAAGCATACAGAGCTCATGAAATTTAACTAAGCCTTTTGAGAACAAGTCATGCCAGAAATGCAAATAACCTCAGCAGTTATGGGATTGTAACAACCAGAAGTTATTAGATTTAGTCTTCTCAAGGTAACAGGGTTCAAAGTGCCTTTTGGTCTATATGTCGTCAAGGGTCACAAGTTACTTGGCTACTACAAATGTGGAAAAGGGGTTGGGGCTCGGGGAAGCCAGAAAAAAAAAAAGAATTGCTGTGTCTCAAGAAAATTTTAGTCACTGCATTTTCTTTGTGTTCTACTTTTCACTATTAAATCTGTAAGCACATTTATTTATCTACATTTTAAAATTAGTTTTCCAAATAAACAAAGACATATAAAAGTGGTAACAGTATTAAAGAAGAACAGAGTGAAGCACTCAATCGAATACATTCTCGGGGCCTAAAAGAAAAGTATGTTATTTTACACCTGCCACACATTGCAGTCCATCTTCCTTACAGAAAAGAAGGATGAGAGTTTCAGTTTTCTCGTTTTCCCCCAGTTCCCACATGTGGGCCATAAAAAGGCACATTAGTATTTAAGATACTTCACTGTTCCCTATCTGCACTATAGTATATCCATTCTTCTTCTTCTTAGAGTTCATGCCGTATGGCATTGGTAGTCAAACATATCCAAAATATTCTATCTCTTGTACATTCAATCAACTCTGACACAGATGATCTTCCATATATATCCATTCTGAAGTCTCCCATTTGAGTACCAGCTTTATTTTGTATGTTCCCTTGCTGCTTGTCCTTGATAATTCAAGGATAGTTTTAGGAGAATCCTGGTAAGTTGTATGCCCAAACCGTTTTCTGCTTCACACTAATAAAATAGAAATATGATGTCTCAAATGTTTCTAAATGTGATGTTAATACCATGTAACTTTGGAAAATCATCAACAGGAGAGAAATAATGTTTTCATATTTACCCCTCCCTGTGTGGGTTCTGGGGCCCTGTTTTAGGGTAAACAAGAATTGACCCACTGTCTACCCAAAAGCATGTCTTAAGAGTCGACTAACTGGAAGCTTCCTTTGAAGTCGGAGTGCATCTGCCTGAGGGGCAAGGAACCAACAGTCTGCACACAAATGAGTCAGATCTGTCAAACGGATGCACAGGCAACACTCAGGTTCTGGAACAGGATTGCAGTCCAGCAGTGGACTAACAACCAGAACATTCTGCCAGAGTTTACAGCTGGTGAACGTGAAGAAGAAGAAGATATTTACCCCAAATGGATCTGCTTTCTCCCATGAGATCTGGGAGCCCCAACTTGCTGGTCTGAGTTTTTCTGGTAATGATTCTGGAACCGCGACCATAATGAAAAGAACATCCAATATGGCTATTGAGGCCGCCAACCAGATAACCACATTCTCACTGTACATGTCCTGTAGGAATGCTCCGATGGCTGGGCTTGTGACTAGACTTGCAGCAAAGGTAGCTGAAACCTGGAAGAAGCAAATGTTGGTTTGAAACTACAGGAGTTGAAAACTATCTTCCAGTTAGGTCAACTTTCTTGTTCCAGTTATGTACATTCAAAATAACACTGGCACATTTCAGGTGTTATTTGTTTATAGAATACTCTTAGTGAGAGGCAAGTGTTGAACTTTGTATGAATTCTAAATGAGATACTGCCAGGAGACTATGTTTTATTCTGATAAAAAATGGTGCTATCTGTGTTATTCGCCATGAAGAATTATGGGCTCGTTTAGCCTATGCTCTGTAGTGAATGTCACAATGATTTTTATAAGCTGAAAGACTTCTGTAGTATGGCATTTTCTGATGATACTCGTCCCTAAAAGCCAGCCCCCCCCCCCCCCCCCCCCCCCCCCCCCCCCCCCCCCCCCCCTAAACCCCCCCCCCCCCCCCCCCCCCCCCCCCCCCCCCCCCCCCCCCACCAAAAGACAGATTACAGTGGTACCTCAGAATTTAAATATAATCTGTTCTGAGATGGCCTTCAAATTCTAAATCGTGAATGCCCATGCACTCTTGTGTCCTTACACAATGGACCGTTTGTGTAGATCAGAACATCTGCCTCATGATAACTGTCACTGACATGGACCTCAGCCCTAACAATAAAAGGATTCTGGTTCCAACAACTCCTATCAAGAGCGACGACACAGAAAAAAGTGCAATTGAGTGCTTTAGGCACAATATCTTTCCTAACTGGGGTGGATGTCTGTAATATCTATCATGAATGTTTAAGAGGCAAGTAAGCTGTGCTGGTGAAAATATCATCACATACAAAAACAACATAGGAATCCATGTTAGAAAACAAACGGCATACTTCATCAATTCTTCTACTGCCCCCCAAATTAATTTGTTTTACACCAAGAACAGGGAACTGGTTCAGGGAATTAACATTAGGCGAAAGAAGGAAGATGTGGTAGGAGTGACAAGAGCTGAAGGAATTCATAGCAGAAAGAAAGTGCAACATTATAAATATAACCTAGGTGCAAACACTAAAACCCTATATACATCACAAACAAAGACCCCCCCCCCCCCCCCCCCCCCACAAGTCTTACCAGACCATATGCTGAGCTTCTTTCATCCTCAGTGGTCACATCAGCAACATAGGCAAACACCACACTGAATGTCACAGAGAACACCCCTGATATTGACAGCATGGCAAAATACCACCTGTCATGGAAAAAGAGGAATAACAATACAACCTGTATATATAACTTTTAAAAAAACCTGATCAGGACATTTTAAGGGGACTTTTATATGACTGCTCTATTTAATGGCACAACACAATGTTATGAAAAAGTCTTCATCATGTATCAGGTCTTTTGCAGAACATCATTCCCAACATGGCCAACAGAAAAGCCTCTCAGCCCTTGCTGATTCCTCTGCCTCATATTTTGTAATGCGCAAGCTGCCTCCAATATTTGTGCAAGTGGAGATCTACCACTTCTAGGAACATGTTTTCACACCACTTCTTTCTAAGCCAGTGTTACATTTAATAATGCTGTAGTATTTAAGTTTCTGAGACACAATGCCGTTAACATTCAATTTTCTTTGAAGCAGAGCTGGAAGAGTGTCAATATATTTTTCTCTCCTTTATCCATGGCATACTAAGACGTTGTGGAACATATCTCTTAAACTGTCTCATTTAATGATTGAAAAATGGTCCATGACTCACAACTGTATGTTACCAAAGGAAAAAGGCACATTTTCTTTGGTATGATAACCAACATCTGCCCTGTAATGGTTAGTCTCCTTCTGACTTATAGTTAATAGTAAGAAGAAACTGTTGTTCATTATAGTGAATCATTTTCTTCTTGATAATTATGTTTACAGTAGGAATGACATCAGATAATAAATATGAATTAGATATTTGAATTAATCAAGGGCGAATTGGGGCGCACAGGAAAATGTTGGCCAATCTAACAAATTGCTTAACCTGTGCGAGATGAGAAAATGAGAATCACAAGTGCCAGCGAAAGATTATTTAACGCCTGGAAAGAACTAGGGCAGGCAGTCTGTCTTGTTTGGGTTCAGGACCGGTGTGTTTGCTGGTGTGGAGAAAGTGTTTGTGGAATGAATCAAGTTATAAATGACAGAGTGCATCAGATTTTGCTGCAAATTCTCATGCCTAACCTGGCTAGCTGTTTGGTCTGATGTGTAGTCAAGGCTGAATGTGTTGTGATTATTTGTTGCGAGAAATTGTTATTTCAAGCTGTGGTCCTGCAAATGTACATTTGTTTTCTGTAAAGGTAATGCTATTCTATTTGATCTATTGCTGTTAAAGATAGCCTAGACTTTGTCTAAGCCTTGACAAACACTGGCCGAGGAATCAGCAGTTGTATGAACAATAAACAGTTTCAACGAGACGTGTCGTCCTGATTGTCCATTCTTCACCTGTTCAGTTATGCGTCAGTGTACAGTTGAGAAGACTGTAAGTGACTGGAGCCAAGACTTAGTGTAAATAGTCATTGCAGTAATGGATGCCGTCCAGTCGAAACAATCTAAAGTTTTTGCAGTGTTGGAGGCTCAAAACAGAGAACTCGGACAGCAAAGCTGCAGAAATAAGCAGTTTGGTAGAAAGAAACCATGAAAATTTACAGGAGAAAAATCCATGGTTCAAGTTTTGGGTCAACTAACAACAACAACACAACAGAACTTTTGTAGACAATGAATAGTGCAGGAGCAGTCATCTAATGCAGCAGAGGAATAAAAGTGTAAGTTTACCATGAGATGAACCTAAGACTGGTGGCTATCCCTCTACAGCAATTCTGAGGCCCTGTTGACTGTACGGAAAGTGTTACCGGCGACAGTGTGGTAAGGTGCAGTGGGTTATCTACACCATGCAACACAAAAGACTGTCGACACCAGATCCTGTATACTGTTTTGAATCTGTTTCAAAATTTACCCTCCACATTGTAACACTGGGTAGAGTGTTAGAACTGATAGCAGAGTGAAATTTATGATCAACCAGCTCTGGCACTGGGTATTAGTGTCACAACTCAAAGATCAGCAAAAGTGGCAAATCGACAGAAACCTCCTACGGTTTAAGAAACCTTCTGCAACTCCATCAAAATGGAAATTTTCGACCAATATTGTCAGCACAAGAAAGTGAATTAACTGTGAACACTCAACATCACCTAGACAAGTATGATTCTAACACCAGACTGTAAACAGTTGATCAACATTGTTAACAGTCAATTACTACAGTCGCGCGGTGATTTATGTGACAGGCGTGAGGGAAAGTTAAGTCTAACATGATGTGTATAAGGAGATACTCCGTTCGTCACTCGGGCGCCAAGCCTTCACTGTTCTGGTTTTACAGAACCTCACGCCAGACCCCTGCAGCACAACCTCGTCGTGCGTCACAGATAATGTCTCAAATGAGCATTAACAGAGCTGTCAGGGGATCTCAGAGTTTGGCGGCACCCAGAGGTAATCTGGTAATCCTGGTAATCATAGTTTCAGCTTCATAGCAAACTGGTCACCCAACATATGCTCCGCTCCTGTGCCAATGAAAAACAAACACAGCTCACAGTGTCACGCCATGCACTCAACTCAGAAGCTGGGCGACGAAACTACATCCTTCCAGTCTACAAATGGAGCAAAAATGCAACGGCCACTGTCTGGCAAAAAAAAAAAATATTTGCCACGGAAATATTTGCACCCAGAGGTGATGTGCCCTTGTGGCTCTCATCAGCCAGCCCCCAAACGGATGGGTGAAAAAGGTTATCAAAACTCAGGAACATGAGTAAAGTGCGTGCCAAACGTACAACTAAAATTACAACCCATGGTTAAAAGATTGCGGACTGAAGAGAACATTGTTCTGCTGAGACTCAACCCTTGACCTAGAGATTTACCCGCAGCACAGACAAGTAACATCTCCTGTGGGTGGCGTCTCGCAGCAAGATTCTACCCATGTACATCCTCTGTTAACCCTCAGTGTCGTCGTACACCACAAAAGCAACAGCCCATTGGCTGGCTAAGCCTAAATGTCCGACAAAACTAGATCCTACGGCACACGAGTAAGCTCAAAATCCGACCATCACAAATCGTATTGAATGGGAAAAAGTCCAAATTTCCACACCTAAAGACCCCACTCGCCCGAGTGTTGGGACCAAAAAGATAACGATATGCCTGCCGCAGTTTATTAAATTCTGCCGTGCTAACGGCTCGACAAAGATATCTAACGTGCAAAGAAAAAGAATGTACCTATTCGCGTGGTCACACAAGTCCAGAACCCACGGGCTGCTCCCCGCTGATTTCCGGAGGGCACAGCCCTTGTCTAGCGGGAGGCCTAATACGGTTGTGAGGTTAAGCAGGCATGTGCAGGACATGACGATTCCTTGGGTGAGCCCAGAACCAGAGCGCCATGTGCTGGCTCTGCATACATGGAAACCTTCTTGGATGGCGGGGAATGCCCATGATCTGCCCCTGCCTTCCCTTGAGTGCTAACTGTTCCACAAAGGGGTACTCTGGGGGCAACACCTGCGGAGAAGGCGACAAAGAGGACACCACTCAAATCAGGCAACGTCTCAACCCACACAAAACAATGGCCACAGTCATTCTAGAAATAGGCCTGATGTCTTCCCTCGAAGTTGGAGTACATCTGCCTGTGAGGCAGGAAACAGCAAAACGGTTGTACACGCAAAACTCAGGTCCAGGTAAAAGCCGAAAGTCCAAGCGGACAATTAACCGGAACCTTCCGCCGAAATTCACAGCCAGTGAACGAAGAAGAAGAAGAAGTTACTACATTTTCAACTTATTTAACCCCACACCCAGGTGGGAAACAAATTTCAACTGATCAAACCCACAGTCAGTTGAGACAATTGTGACAAATGAGTCAGTCCAAACATTGTTGGGTCAACAGTCATCAATCAGTCAAAAAACCAATTCCACACCTAGGTGGATCCAGAATGGACATTCGAAAGATTCAATCGCATCTTTTTCTGGTGTGCAGATTCTAATGCTCATACAACCCTTCAAAGGCCTCAGTAACATGGTACTCCATGAACACGCATATAGTGAAGGCAGACTTACCAGCAGTGGAAAGCAGTGAGGAAATGTTGATGAGAACAAATCTGATGACATACCTTGGAGTGAGGTTTGATTGCAGCCTATCCTTCAAAGAACATGTTAACCAGGTCATAACAAAAACATGCATGGGCCTGTCAGCAATGAGGGTCCTGGCTGCCGCTAACACTGAGCAGAGACTGCTTCTGTTTCTGTTCCAGGGACTTGTACTTTCTCCCATCGAATATGTTCTTGCCATCTTCACTATCAGCCATACTCAGATGGTGGCTGGGATCACAGGACTATTCCCGCGTGTGTGTGCTGAGTGATTCTTTGAGCATGATCCGGCGGGTCAAGGCAGGCTGGTTGCGCAGACAGTGGCTTGAGTTGTTGCAAAATTCTCCTGTGTGTGTAGTTACTTTCATATTCGTCTCAGTGCATACAGGCGTTGTTGGTAATGAGAGAGCTGATAGACTGGCAGGTGCTGCACTAATTAATTGAAGATGGCCAGCCCATGGATCACGCAGACATTGTCATTGCCCTTAGAGAGATTTGATGTTCTGAGGATTTTGGAAGCAACGTGTTCACATCACTGCTAAGAATACACGAATTGGGAGTGAAGATCGGCACAGCCAAGCATGAGTAGCACACTGGACGCACACAAAGTCTTGTTAACCAACATAGGACTGGTACTATTAACCGCACGACGCTGATGAATATGTTGAGAGGGAAAGAACCCTAAAAGATAGAAGTGCTTTTGCCTTGACCACGAGCAGTCTGACTTTGGAGGTGATGGCCTTAACAAAAGCAATGATGTGGCTATTACAGAAAACTGTGAACATGCCTTCTTTCTAAGTGAGTCCATGAGCATACAATCTGCATAAAACTGGGTAAAGATTGCAAACAAGGCCTGCTAGTGGTTGAGGCAGAAGTTCAAGCTTGAATTCTTGAAAATTCAGCTAACAGAAGTGTAGTTATCTATACTGACAGATCCGCATTCGACATGTACAAAGTTCATGGGCTACCACGGCTCTGGTTCAAGGTGAACTAAAAGAAGATAGCAGGGCTTTTGCCTCAACTTCAAGTAGTCAGACTATGGAGGTGATGGCGGTAACAAAAGTAATGATGTGGCTAGAGACACAGCATTTTCTTATGCATGCTTTCTAATAGGATTCCATGGGCATGCTTAAGAAGATAGTGACAGGGTGGATTAGAAGAAAATGGTTGGAGTCGCTGACTAAATTTCATCTGAAAGGAATTAGTTCCATTTTTGTGCCAGGACACTCTGGGATAACAAGGACTGAATGAGCAGACTGGCTTGCTGACAGGGCCACGATAGGTACAGGAAAAGCAACGTACTGGGCCCACATTTTCAATGCTCTTAAGGAGGCAGGAGAGAAGATGATTCAGGAGACAGCGTTTAATCAGCAACACTCAAAAGACTACAAGAACTTCAGGCCAAAAGAGGTGGCACCAAACATGAACACTATACAGGTAGCCAAAGAAGAACAATGAACCAACACAGAACTTATCAGTCGGCACATGCTGGGGGATATTCTGAAGATGGAATCTGAGCGCTTAGGGATTCGTTCAATGTGCAATGAGGATAATCTTTTGAATAACTAATTAGCTAACAGAAGAACAAGACATGATGGGTTAGAAGACAATGGTTGCAGTTTCTGAGGAAATCTAATATAATAGGAATAAGTTTCAATTTTGTATAAGGGCACTCTGGGAAAGGAGGGAATGAACAAGTGGACTGGCCCACTGGCAGGGCCACGGAAGGTACAGGACAAGCAATGAACTGAGTCAGTGTTCTCAATGCTCTCAAGGAGGCAGGGCAATTAGATGATTCAGGAGACCATGGTAAATCAGCAATATTAAAAAGACTACAAGAACTTAAAGTCATAAGAGGAATTAGCAGATATGACCATTATAAGGTAGCCAAAGCAGAGTAGTAAACCAACACAGAACTGGTGTTGTCAGTCAGTCACCACAACATAAAGGATATACTGAAGTTTGGGTCTAAGCGCTTATGGATTTGTCTGATGAGGTGAATTGATCAATTAGCTAAATATTTGTTGCTGTTTAGTGATAATTTACCATACACCTACCAGACTAAGGACAAGAATGTAGGAAAAGAGATTAACTGCGGTCAGTGATTTATAACTAAACAGCTTCCATGAAGATACTACTTCCCGTCCAAGTGATGTTTCAGTTAACAGGCTGCATGACTGAAGACTGGCCAAGACAACAAGGACTAAAGAAAAAAGAGAAATCTGGTTCTAAAGTATATGCTAATGTTGGATGTGTCAATGGACAGGTGCAAATAAAGTAAACATGTAAACAGACACAAAGAAAACAACAATCTTGTCATGAAGAACAAAGAAGAACACACAGAAACCTAGGAAATTCAGAAAAAATTAATAACTTGTGAAACCAACCTGTGAGTAGTTAAAGCTGATTACTGTTTACAGGGTGCTAAAGAAAGAGAGATAACAGTTCACTGCAGATCTACAAATGTTGCTAGCTATGACAGTCATCAAATGTTTAGTTATAGAACAGTTCCTAAAGACAACAAGAGAATGATATATGACATCAAATATATGTTAAATTATGTTGACAACTCTAGATGTGAAAGTGAAGTTAACATACAAAGAAGATTTTAGTACCCAAGAAAACACTTCAAATGAGCTTCATGAGAAAGTCCCCAGTGAAAAGTCTGCTGAATGCCATGCTAATGAACAGAACCAGCATCTGTTCTTACAAGTTTCCAATAATTAGAAAAGACAGACCAGTTTTACTTACCACGGACTGAGTCTCATTAAAGGTATTGGTGCACAGGTGAAAGCCACTGTAAGAAGGAGGAAGGGTTTACGGCCCCATACATCAGACAAAGCCCCAATCAAAGGAGCACTCAGAAAGGACAGTAAACCCTGCGGAAAAACAAAACAATTATGTAATTTATTAAACAGAAACAATTCATGTGAAAAATAATCTTTTAACTACCCCAACCTAGAATGCTGAATTCAGAATCAACATCATAGCACTCTCATTAGCGCTTTGTTCCCATATTCAGCAGCAAACAGTTTCGATCCCGATGGCACCAGTAATTTCTGATTGTATATCTGTTTCGCCTTTCCCTTGAGCACCAGCCAGATCCCCTGGCAATTCCTCGCAACTCCATTCTCGTCAGACCATAATGACCTTTAGCGCTTCCGCACTGTTCAATCGTTCCGAGAGGGCCCTCACAACATCTAGCTTATCATACATCAGTTCACCACTAAGTGCTGCAGAACTGACTAGTCTATTTGCCTGATCATTTACCAACACACCAGCATGACTGGATTTAATTTGATTTGATTCAAGAACCAACATCACAGCATTTGGGGCATTCCCAAAAGCGCTCCGTCCCCATCTTCAGCAGCTAGCGAAGAGTTCCGATGCTAATGGTGCCAGTAGCATTCTGATTAAATGTCCATCTTGCCTTTCCTCTGAGCCTCGAGCATCTGTCAGAGCCTCGCGTCACTCCCCGCTGTATCAATCTCACCAGACTGTGGTGATCTATCTGATCCTCCAAACTGTACACGCTCTCCCACAAGGTACTAACCACGTCTGCCTTATCACGTATCAGTATTCCACCAAGTTGTGCATAGCCAGCCAGTTTGTCTGCCTGTTCATTTCCCCAACACACCGGCGCCACCCGGTGAAAAAATTCAGACAATACTCCTCCCCCGTGTCCTCCGCAGCGAAGCATGTCACTCTGCACGAAGCATACCTGTTCTGATCTTCCTCAGCATGCTTTCTGAATCAGTTACAATCATGATGTGTGTGTGAGTGTCGTGTTCTCAAGCCAGCGGAAAGCTGCAGTGACTGCCTCCAACCCCATTCTTAAGCTGGATGTTGTGGTATCATATGTTAAGCTCTCCTTTACCAAACGTCGACCATTAACCGCATGACCTGGAGATAATATGCAAAGGATGCTAACTACCCGAGACCTCTGAAGTGATGCTTGCCACTCTGCATGGAGCATAACTGTCTCCACCTTTCTCAACATGCTCTGTGAGTCAGTTACAATCACAGCATGTGTGTACAGCTGATTCTGAAGCCAGCGGAATGCAGAAGTGATTGCCTCCACCTCCATCCTCAAACTAGATGTAATATCATAGGCTTTGCTGCACAAAGCGACGTCCATTCGCTTTGCTATGAACCCCTATGCACTTCGTCTGCCCCTCAACACAGAGCCATCTGTACAGATAATAACATTACGTGTGTGGGAATTGTCATGAACTATTTATTGAACTTCTGATTCTGCAGCGCCTGTCCCTGCAATCACGACCCAAAGTGATAAGAACCCTGCACAAGTCTGAAACTTGTTTGGACACTTTGACCCACTTCTCACCTTGCACAAATTTATCAAACCTGCCCACAAGTCTGATTGTGTCTAAAGCTTGCACCATCCAAGACCTTCCTCTTTTAAATCTGTGACCCTTAGCTCTACCCAGGTCTTCATGCAGGAGGTCTTCTTGTCTGCAGCTACTCTGAAACATGACTTTGCTTGCAGAACAATAAGCCTATCTGCAAAGGTAGGCAGTGCAAGCATATATCGCAAACATGCTACCGGGGTATCTCTTGTACATCACAGAATTACTCAGATGGCTTCATTCTTTATACGTTCAAGTTTCATCAGCTGACTCTTTGATATGGTAAGCAAAGTCCATAATTTATCAGCCGACAGGATCACATGCTGGAACATTGTGAACAGCATTCTTTATTCTATGTCCATTGCTGCCATAATCTTGAGAGCATTAGGTCCTTTTTTGGCATTTCACCGCAACTGCCTCCACATGATCCCTGTAGGACAGGCTTCTATCAAAAATAATTCCCAGCTACCTCAGTTTGCTTTCTCTTTTATGTTACTGTTATTAATTATTAATAAACCTAGAATTTTAACTGAAACTGCACTATACACCTGTATGTAAAACATAATATTTGCATTTGTGTTCATTGAAAGATCATCTTCATCACACTTCGGACATGACCACAAGTGCTCCGACCTCCTCCTGATTATGTCTCTAAGTATTTTTGGGCTAACAACTTCTATTCTGTTCTGGCTGATGTAACAATGTGTAACTTCCGTATGGTTTTTCTTTCTCGCTGCTCCAATTAGTAAACCTATGGCACGCAGTCTATCAAGTGAAAAATCAATTTCCACAAAGCTGAAAGCCTGACAGCACGTAGTCTCTTGAATGGCACTGATGATGTCTCTCCTGTCCATAGATGGCCCATTCCTGATAGTTGCACTGCCAGCAAGGGCGTCTGCTCTCTCATTGCCTTTCACACCAGCATTCCCTAGAACAACGAAAATGAAGGTGATTTTGCGAAACGCTGCATGCTATATCAGATGGAGCCACTGTTTTCATTTATGTCCAGCCTTGATCTTCTGTAGCATGCTCAGAGTTGCTGAGAAAGCATGCATTGGTGAATTCCTGTTTTTTTCCGCCATTCTAGCGCCTTTGTCACAGCCATAACCTCCACTGCCATACTGCTGGTGGTAGAAGCAAAGGTCCCACTGTTTTTTTTGATGACCTTTCCTTTAATTCTTGCTGTGAAAGCCCATACACTTCGTTTCTGACGAATTATAAAATCATCTTCTGCTGATGTGTTTTCCTCTACCAACACTTTCATCTCTGCATCAACTATTCTTCTTCTTCTTCTCTTCCTCTTTTACTGCTGTGGGTGTCGAGGGAGATATAAGGTTCTGTTTCTGGCTCTTCTGGCCGCCTCGACCATAGGCACATCGTGCTGTTGTAGAGCTTCTCTGATGTTATCCTTCCATGTTGTTCTTGGTCTACCTCTTGCTCTACGACCTTCTTTTCTTTCCATGTATGCTTTGTATGGTATGGTGTCACAAAGCATTCTCTCTAAGTGGGCAAATCATTTCACTTGCTGTCTTTGAATGTAATTTAGAATTGGTTCTGTGCTGACTTTTTCTCTTATGATCTCATTTCTGATCTTATCTCTTATGGTCACTCCTACAGCCCTTCTCAGACATCTCATTTCCATGGTTACTAATTTTCTTTTATGGTTTGTTGTGAGTGACCATGTCTGGCAGGTGGTAGCACAGAGTTGGAATAAATATGCTTTGAATAAGATGTCTCTTTGTGCTGATTGGGATTGTCTTATGCTGTCCCAATACTTGGTTTGCTTTACTGCATCTAATGTTAATTTCTTTATCCAATTGCCCATCTTCAGTAAATGTAGTTCCCAGATATTTAAACTCAGATGCCTGTTTAATGCCTTTGTTCTCTATTGCTATGTTTAGATCTGTCTTCTTTCTTCCTATTGACATTACTTCTGTCTTTTCAGTGTTGATTCTCATATTATTTGTTTTACATTCAACTATTGATGGCGCTAAATCATGGCATTGTCTTGTCAGGGTGATAACCACCACAAATTAGTAACTGTTTGGTATAGGTATCCATTCCTCTGCATGGTTTATGTCTTGAAGTGAAATCACCCGCTGAAGTACTGTCTCTGCACGGCTCAAACAAAACTGGCCTTGTTTAAGTCTGTTGCCTTTACGTGTATTCACTTCATTGTGCAGAGGATGTGTACAGACCTCAGTGATATTGAGGTAGGTGCACTCTTGGCGCAGTTCAGGCCTGCTGTTTATATCTGGAAGATCTAGTGGGTATCTCATTGCTCTACATGATGTGTCTTTGGTACAACCAAGTCTGATATGCATTGCTTCATGTTTTACCTTTTCTAGTCGGTCGATATGTTTCTTGCTAAGGGTTAGGATTGCCAGTGCATATTCTATGAGAGAGAATCAAACCCTGGTAGAGGACGACTAGCAACCTTTGTTGACCACATAACTCTCACTGCAGCCAAACACTTTCTGGCCTTGTTGAGCATATCAACTTGCAATCTGCAGCTTCGATCAAAACTCACTCCCAGGTATTTTAAAAGTTCAGACCTGGCTATCTCTTCACCATTCATATACACAGAGGGTGTTATTGTGTGTACTATGTGACTGTTCAGAGAAAACCAAGTTGCAGTTGCTTTTGGAGGGTTAATGTGTGCTCTGGAGTTTTGACACCAATCTGCTATGCTTCCCAGTTCCATTTGGAGTTCTATAATTGTGTCCCCGTTCTTGCCTTGGCAGTACATTAGTATGTCATCAGCGTATGAGAGGGTTCCCCCCTCTCCCCATGATCTGATATTTTGACACCTCAATAGTGAAAATATTGAAGAGGACTGGAGATAAATGTGATCCATGGGGCTATCCTGGGTGTACGGTTTTCAACTCAGAGATCCATCTTCACCATTTGAAAACAGCCTGCCTCTTGAAGAGCGCTGCTGCTATCCAGTTAATGAGTATTCGGAAAATGTAGATATTTAGGATCTGGTGTATGAGTTTTTTTAAAGGGCACCTTGTTGTACGTGTCTTCTAAATCTAGCAACACAGCATGTTTCCACCTATGCATGGAAACCTTCATAGACATCGTAAGCACATACGAAAGCATTACTTCACCTATCTCTATGTGGTCTATATCCTCCTTATATGGATGGTAATCTACCTGTTTGTAATTTATGAGTAATTTTCCATGCCACTATTTTTTCTAGCAGTTTTCCAATGGTGTTTTGTATACTGATAATTCGGTAGCTGCTTATGGCAGCTATTGTTGGATTCACTGCAGAATTCTGATAGTTCCTCATCAGTTAGTTTTAGAAAAGGCTTCATATCGGACCGTTTGGACACTGTGCTGTGTTTTTATATTTTTTAATAATGTCTATTATTTTATCTACAGTGATATAAAATACTTCTTTAGAAGTAACAGTTTTACAAAGACATTTCATTGCTTTTTTGACATTAGTTCGACTTTCAGTATCACTCTAGTTTGTTTATACTGCAAATATCGGTCGAAAAGTAATAGGCCTTTGCTTTCATCAATTCTGTGCCAACTACAATCATGTTACCAAATGTCAGGCAAGCTATACTGTCAAGGTATACTAGTCATAGATTGCTGTAGCCGCTAGAAAAGCTTCACTGATTTTTCACGACGCACTCTCTCCCAAAATTCTTCCCATTGTCACTGTTGGTCTGCCATGCTACAGCTTTGACATCATCTGTTGTTTCTTTCAGGGTTTGCATCAAGGTACTGAGCTCAGCACGTTTAACCTATGTAAAATTAACACTTGGAAAATGAGATGCCTGAGAAAAGCCACCAACTTAACCATCTGAGACAAATTTCGAAACTATATTATCAGACAGACTGTAGGAACAACACCATGCAGAAAATGCATTCAGAAAAAGAAGATCAAATGGTTTTTGGTCTTCTAATAAGAAAGCAGCCAGAACAACTACCAACGCACAGGCTACACATGAAAAGATCTTAAGTGAAAGCAAGAGGCCACCCAAGGATAAAATAGACTGATGACATTAAAGAGCTCCTGCATCAACACAGAATGACAACAGCCCCTGCTGCCCATCAAGCAATGGACCGCAAAATGTTCTTCCACACAATGCTTAATCGCAGAAGTGGAAAGTGATGATGATAATGATGTAAAAATTGTATCTGACTATTTCTTGTTAAAACTGATATCATTAACATATAAAGCCAGATATAACATATCTTTTCATAATTTAACCCTGTCACCCAAGTGATCTAGAAAAAAACTATACCAATAACTCCTGAAATAAATCCTTAAAAAACAAAAACAGACAACAAAATTTTATACAGGTTACTCAAAAGACATATTTGCATTTATTAACCAACAACAATAATGAATTCCATACAGAATACAGGAAGTCATTAGTAAAAATGAATGAAGCATATAATTAACTGGGTCATGTCTAAAAATAAATCAGCCTGACATATTTTTGTGACCACATGACTGGGTCTTAGGTCAACATTGTGACCAGTGGGAAAATTACTTCAGAAGTTCTTTTAATAAAGCCATTTTTTGTGTTCCTAAGAAAGCCCTGTAAATACTATATTTTTACAGAAAATGTAACCCTTCCTAGCTCTCCTAAATGTGTGTGCAGGCATAAGCAATAACCTGCTATTAGCTAGGTCCCTTGGACGTAACTGGAAGTGTCAATTTTGCAGATTCTCAGGGCCGCAGCTTTAATTTACCGAACATAAATCTAGTGGGAACAAAACATTTATATGTATATTTAAAACAACTTTAAACTGGTGCAATATCTGCTTTTTAAATATTAAATCAGGCCAGTTTAGTTGCAAGAAAGTAACATAATCAAACCACTGATCCACACACTTAAACTATAGACTGCTGGCTGCATAGTCAGGTTCATAATGGGGACTGGCTGGTTAGATGGGGTATACTGTGGCTAATCTTGATACTATCTCTTTCTACACCCTCCACCCCACTCATTCACACACTTTTGTTTATATTCAACAAATCTTGTGAACAATGTGATGACACTAAAATGATTCATTTATGTGTTTCTAAGTCACACATAGGAAACTTTCTTGTCTGTGAGATCTTGGTAAAGAGCTGATGGCCCATCCCCAATATGTCTATGTGATATTTATTGTAGTTTGAGGCCAGGTGACAGATACAGAATTGTTATGTCTAGCAGGTATTGTGTGTAAGGATTTTACACTATTCACAATATTTAGGAAAACTATGGAACACAATTGAAGATTTGAAAATTGTGACATTGCATTCAGCAACACCCACTTCCTGAACACTGTGATTTCCCATGTGGGTTTCTGGGGTCCCATTATGGGCAATAAAGAACAGACCTACTGCCCCCCCTGACTAGTGTGTCATATAAGGTGACTAATTAGGGAAGTTTTCCTTCAAAGTCGGAGTGCATATGCCAGCCTGCATATAAATAAGTCAGATCCATAAAACAGATGTTCACATAAAACTCAAGTTCTGGAACAAGACCACAGTCCAGAAGTGAACGCACAACCAGAAGAAGAACACTGTCATCAATGGTGAATTTCCTACTCTTTGGGAATGGTTCATCAGATCAAGCACCATTAGCCAATTATTACCAAAAAATTCTTCCCTGAAGTTTTCTGTTGCCTTTGTGATGCCATGTAACACAAAATAACTGAACTAGTGGGCAAGGGGAACTGGGCAGCACCATCATGATACCACACCTGCAAATTCTTTGTACCAATTTTCTTTGCTTAACAAAAACAGTCCTCTTGTTCACCAGGCCCCCATACTCTCCCAGCCTAGTGATCTTTGGCTGTTCCTCTAGATGACAATTCTGCTACAAGGGACTTTACTTGAATTAGAAGACACATTGAACATTATGGCTGAGCTGTACTCCACCCCAAAGAGAATTTTCCCTAATGCTTCCAACAAAGATAGGTCTGCTGGAATAAGCATGTGTAAGAAGAAAACTTTGATGAGGATCAGTTTCAGTCTCCTCTGTCTCAACGTTGCTGGAATGCAGAATATTCAGTATGTCTGCCTTGTTCACACTGCTTCCACCATGCGCCTGCCCTGTCTATACTGTTTTCATCAAACACTGCAGACACAGCTAGCCAGTCAGTTCTTCAATTTCCTTTCACTCTATGGTGGCTACAGCCAAGACAGTTTCTTGAGGCAGGACTTGTGGATGCTGTCAACCATCCAGTCAAGCAGTGGGCCCTGGAACTCACACGAATGTCAACAACTGTTGGCATCTGACAAGTTGTAGCACCTGCTACAGCAGCACACTTATTTATTTTCGTAGAGATTTGGTTTGATGATCCAATGGGTGATGTGGTCAACATCATGCCAGCCACTTTTACTTCCCAGTCTGGGCAAACCAATTCAACACTTCACCCCAGCAGGCAAAAATATAAAACTTAAAAAAAAATACAAATCGTACTGTACATATTAGATACCTGCCTAAAGCCTAGACAAAAGACAAGCTGATTCACATCAACGAATGGTGTATCAGGTAATTTGTTAGAGATAAATGTTTTACATTATCTCATCTGTTAGCTTCTCCCCAGGCCTCCATTCTAACAGTATATGTGCCTTGCCGACTGGCGTGGGCGATCATGCCTCTCCATAATCTGCGATCTCCTGCAGCATAAATAAGTTCGTGTGCCGACACACCTCCATGCCATGCAACAAGACTGTCAAGCATCTTCTCTCGTTGTCTTCCTCTATCTCTCCTTCCACAGATCTTTCCAGTGGTCACAACATATTCTATTTTCCCTCTTCTCATAACATGGCCGAAAAATGATGACTGTATCCTTCTGATGTCTGTGATAAGTTGTCTTCGGGCTCCCGCCTCTTTCAAAACCTTTTGGTTGCTCTTTTTGGCTGTCCAAGGTATTCTAAGCATTCTTCTGTAATACCACATCTCCGAGGCCTCTAGAAATTGTTTGGCCTGCCTACCGATTGTCCAGGATTCACAGCCATATGTTAAAACTAGATGTATGTAGCAAGCAAGAATTCTTTTTCTAACTCTCAATGACAAGGATATATTGCACAAGATGTTTTTCATTTTATAAAATGCAGTTTTTGCCTGTCCTATTCTGTTTCTTATTTCAGTTATGCATCTTCCATCTGATGTTATCCATGTGCCCAGATACTTAAATTTCTGTACTTGTCCTAAAATAACACCATCAACTTTTATTACACACTTGAGAATAATTCTTTTCTTTGATATCACCATTACTTCTGTCTTCCCATTATTCAAACTGAGGCCCATTCTTCCACTTTCTAACACCACAATGTCTATCATTTCCTGTAGTTCTTTCTGACTTGTTGCTATCAAGACTGTGTCATCAGCATAACGTAAATTGTTTATATTGTGCCCACCAACCACAATTCCGGGCATACCAATTAAAGCTCTCATTATATATTCACTGATAATACTGATATAAAAGAATAGCAGGAACAGAAAAAAGCTCAAAGTATTTGTTTCCTCAAATAATTTGAGGAGACTGGCATTTTGTTTAGCCTAGTAAAAATATTGCCAAGGATACAGAAGGAATCAAGGATATATAAATAATACTAAACCACATTCCAAACATTCTAAAAGTTACAAGTACACAATATAATGCTATGCTTATTTAAAGCTGAAACATACAGGTTAAAACATGTTGGCAGCTGCACTAGGGGAATTAAGAATCAATTAATGCCTTTCTGATATAATCATGACAGCAAACATGTAGCTGAGATCAAACTGGAGTCAATTCTCATCATCCCTATCATACACCTTACAATGAAAACATAACTAGAAACGTAATGAACTTTTCTCTCCACCCAAGAGAGAGAGAGAGAGAGAGAGAGAGAGAGAGAGAGAGAGAGAGAGAGAGAGAGAGAGAGAGAGAGAGAGAGAGAGAGAGAGAGAGAGAGAGAGAGAGAGAGAGAGAGAGAAAAGAGATCTACACAAACATACCATTAAATAACAGACTTCTGGCAAATGCCAATTTAATGCTTTGTAATGTTTAATTTGAAAAGGTATGCTCTAACCGTTCCAAAGCTTGGCAATGGCATGCTGGGCACAGCGCACCGTAATTAATGAAAATTGATGCTTTTATTCAATCTTTGTCAAGTATCTATTGTGATAACAAACTGGAAGAGATACAGTTCTGTGGAACTCACCTTCACTCCCTGGATGAGACCATTAAACAGGAATGTATGTTTCGGAAATGTGTCGTTCAAGACCTGTGAAAATCAGCAATGGGTGATGGGGAAGAGGATGCATTGTAGCACTTTGAATAACAATGATAAAATTTCAATAATTTCCTACATAATTACCAAGGCAATGTCATTTCATTATCTGTTGATGGTTCTTGATTTCTATTTCTGGTATTGATAGTAACAAGTAAACTAAACTACAGACGTGGAGACGAGAATTAAAGCAAAGACTAATTTTTTCTCATTTTCATAATGTAACAGCTTTTAATTTTGTGTTTCCCTCTTCCTTGTTTTGGGAAAAAAAAATTCTGCTTCAGCTTTCTCCAGTTACCTTACAGTGTTTTCCTCAGTTCTCAACCTGAAGATGATCACTTGTTTGCCTCCGCAAGAGAAATCTGGCTGTGATTGACATTTAATATTTCTTAAACCGTTTTCTTTAAACTGCTTTGATTACTAATAAAAACAAAATGCATACACACATACATTTTATTGTTCTGTTTTCAGCATGAATATGTCATTCTTCAAGCGAAGTTGCTGGCATCCATAATATGCAATATTTGCTGAGGAAGACAGAGCACTTAAAGGTGTGTTCTGATTACAGTGACGTCACTTATGTTAACTTATCATCAGTTCTCATTATGCCTGGTGGCACATGGGGCTTCAGAGAGGACTTTCCATGCTTTCCTGTCCTGAGCAATCTTCAGTGCAGTTTTCCATGTCAAAGATGCCGCACTCAGGTCACTTTCCATCGTTCGCCTCCATGTTATGTTAACTTATAACCAAACCAAAATACATACTGTGTTTCTAAACATGCAATTTAAATTAGTTTATTTTTATCTAATGTTCTCCTGTGTTTATGGTAACATACTCAACACAGAAACTGCCAACACAGAACAAATTTTGGTGAAGGTTTTAAGAATTAGCTGTTCAAGTTACCGACAAATCAATATTTTATTTAAAAAAAAAAGAACTGATACTCACACTGATAATGGGAGAAGTTAGCAGACCCCATGCAAAAAATTCAAGGAAAATTATAATCAAGGCATGATAGATGTTGGCTTGTCCAAGACCTGACTGAAAATGAAATAAGGCATCAATGAGAACATTGAAAACACAATATGTGGTGGAGCCAGATTTGTAGCTTAATGAGCAGTATTAACTTATTTAAATATAAAAAGTGTACAGAAACACACCATTGATATATAAAACAGACTTTCTATTTATAAACTGTAAAATGCAACCCTTGCTCCCCTCTCCACCAGAAAAAAAGCACAACTCAATCCCTGCTTTGCCCCTCAGCAGCAAGTTAAACAGAGCCATCTGGCGGCTGCTCTAGAATGTGATTCATACAATGAGATATCTACAGCCACAGATTTTCCATCAAAGCTTTTATTGCAGTGGCTCTGTTTTCATCTTGTTGTTAAAGCTTATCCTGTGATGTCTGAACATGGTCAAATCATCTACACAGCTGTTTCAAAAATATAGTCTCCTGCTTCAATGTGCTTCTTGACACCAGCATTTCAGAATTTTTGTTTGTCTCATTACATTTAGAAGTAAACATTTCACTTAAATTGTCTTAACTGCTGTCTTTTTTGTTGTTGTTAAAGTTTAACACTGATAGTTCAAAGCTGGTAGAAAGAAAATATAGAAAAAGTGCTCTCTTGTGTCCATTTTTAAATGTTTGTTCTGTAATAACCTTGACACTGGTCTACAGATTTCAAATGTATTGTTCATATTGACTTATGATAAATGCGGCTTTGGTCTGTGGTGATACAATAGCCAGTGAGGTGTCAGCGAGGCATGGTTGCTAGTTGAAAACTAAACTATACTCATCATCATCATCAGGTGCCTTGCCAACTGACGTGGACGATCATGCCTCTCCACAATCTGCGATCTCCTGCAGAATGTATCAGTTGGTGTGCCGACACACCTCCATGCCGTGCAACAAGACTGTCAAGCATCTTCTCTCGTTGTCTTCCTCTATCTCTCCTTCCACAGATCTTTCCAGTGGTCACCACATGTTCTATTTACCCTCTTCTCATAACATGGCCGAAAAATGATGACTGTCTCCTTCTGATGTCTGTGATAAGTTGTCTTCAGGCTCCCGCCTCTTTCAAAACCTCCTGGTTGCTCTTTTTGGCTGTCCAAGGTATTCTAAGCATTCTTCTGTAAAACCACATCTCCGAGGCCTCTAGAAATTGTTTGGCCTGCCTACCGATTGTCCAGGATTCACAGCCATATGTTAAAACTGGATGTAAGTAGCAAGCAAGAATTCTTTTTCTAACTCTCAATGACAAGGATATATTGCACAAGATGATATTCATTCATTCAGTAGCATGTCCCTCGCTGCCATAACAACCCTCCGGAAAACCTTCCTATCCTGAGCAAGATGTCCTGCGTCTGATACACCCATCTGGAGATCATCTGCCACATCCTGCACCCATCTTCTCCTTGGCCTTCCTCTTCCTCTCTTCCCAGGCATATACCCCTCCATTATTGTTCTCTCTAGACTTCCATGACGTTTCAAGTGACCAAAATATTTCAATTTTCTTTGTTTTACTGTCTTTACTAGCCAACCCTCTTCAATATTCAGCTCTTGAAGTATGGATGCATTTGTTCTTTTCTTTACCCAAGATATTCTTAGAACCTGTCTGTAACATTTATATTCAAATGCATTTATGCGCTGTTCCGCTTGTTTAGTAAGTGTCCAGGTCTCACAGGCGTATGTTGCAAGATGATATTAATTTGATAAAATGCAGTTTTTGTCTGTCCTATTCTGTTTCTTATCTCAGTTATGCATATTCCATCTGATGTTATCCATGTGCCCAGATACTTAAATTTCTGTACTTGTCCTAAAATAACACCATCAACTTTTATTACACACTTAGGAATGATTCGTTTCTTTGATACCACCATTACTTCTGTCATCCCATTATTCAAACTGAGGCCCATTCTTCCACTTTCTAACACCACAATATCTATCATTTCCTGTAGTTCTTTCTGACTTGTTGCTATCAAGACTGTGTCATCAGTATAACGTAAATTGTTTATATTGTGTCCACCAACCAGAATTCCGGGCATACCAATTAAAGATCTCATGTATATTGAAAACAAATTAGGTGACAGTACACATTCTTGTCGTACGCCCCTCTTTATACTTTGAAATGTACCTAAAAAGTTGTTAATTCTCATAGCTGCTGTTTGCTGCCAATACATATTCTTTATTATTCGTAGATCTTTCCCATCAATGTTTAATTTTTCTAACTGTTTGATTACTTCTTCATGTTTCACACAGTAAAATGCTTTTGTATAGTCTATGAAGCATATGTACAAATCAGTCTTTACTTCTATAGCTCTTTCTGACAATGTCCTAAGGATGTATATGGAATTGTTTGTACCTTTTCTTTCTACAAATACACATTGTTCATCGCTGATTTCTGGTTTAATTTTGTTTCTTATTCTCACAATTATTCTCAGTAAATTCTTAGTCATGTGACTCATAAGACTTATTGTGCGATGTTCTTCACATTTTATAGTGCCTGGTTTCTTTGGCAGAGTGATAAATATGGATTTTAAAAGGTCATTTGGAATATACCCACTATTTTAAATATCATTAAAAAGTTTAGTTATTATTTCAATTCCAAAATCTCCCAGTGCTTCGATTTCTTCCAGTGAGATGTTGTCTGGCCCTGGTGCTTTTCCTTTCTTCATATGATGTATTGCATCCTCAACTTGTGCTGTCATTATTGGTGGACCATCATTGTTGGTCTGCAGTTCTACATCTGGTCTATTATCATCATACAATTCCCCTACATACTCTGTGCATCTGTTAATTATTTTACTATGTCCCATTAATAAGTCACCATCTTTTGATTTCAAACATCCAGTGCTGTTACGTGTCATTTTTCCTGTTAACATATTTATCTGTTGGTACATGGAATGTGAGTCTTTCCTGTTGTTTTCCCAAATCTCTGTACACATTTGATTCAGCCAGGCTTCTTTAGCCACTTTGCATTTGTTCACTATTTCTTTTTGTATTCTAGAGTATTCTTCTTTATCATTCTTTTTCCTCCTTCTTTCATCCATCAACTGCAGAATTTCGGTTTACATTCATTTCTTTTTTGCAACTCTATGGGATGGTGGGATTGTCTCTTTATATGTCTGCTGAATTGACACATGCAACTGTTCATCAATAGTCTGTATAATTTCCATTGCATCATACCGGTTTTGTACAGCGACATTGTACTGGTCCTTAATTTCTTTATCCGTTCTAAGAATTCCTAAATTTAACTTGATGTTCTGTGACGTTTTTCTAATGTTCTTTAGTTTTATTCTAATTTTTCCTACAACCGGAACATGGTCACTAAAGCAGTCTGCTCCTGGTCTAGTTTTTGCTCCAACTAAGCTGCTCTGGAATCTTCTTGAAATCAATCTGATTGCGGACATTATCACCAGGACTTTTCCAAGTCCACAATCTTCGAGGATAGTGTTTATACCAGGTGTTACCTATTATCATGCAGCGTGATTCAGCCCATGCAACTAATCTGTACTCTCTCACATTCTTTTCTCCTACGCCATACCCACCCGCGTTATTCCGTACACTTTTTGACTTCCTATTTTCACGTTGAAATCTCCAAGTACCATTGTTACTTCACAATTTTTGCATTGATCAACAGCTATGTCTAACTCGCCATAAAATGTGTCAATATCTTCATCAGAACTATCTGCTGTTGGGGCATAAATCTGTACTAAGTTGATGTCAAACGGTCTGCCGCGAAGTTTTACTAATAGTACTCTATCTGATATAGTCCAAAATCCTTTCACAGTTTTTGAGTTCTTTGGATCCAAAATAATACCAACTCCCTTACTATATTCCTTCCCACCCGAGTAAATAATTCTGTACTGATCTGAATACTTTTCCCCTGCTCCTGGCTATCGCATTTCACTAATTCCTAATATGTTGATGTTCATTCTCTTCATTTCCATCTTGATGTTATCCAACTTTCCGTTTTGAACGAGTGTTCTGACATTCCATGTACCAATGTTCATGATGTTTCTACCATTTACTTTTTCTACAGTAGCTGGATGACGGTCGGGTATCACCCGTAGAACATGATGCTCCCTACCAAACGAGGTGATTCCACTGGAATCCCCATTCACAGCGTTACCTGAATTCCTATTATTTTGAGGCATGATTTTCTTGGGATAGCACAGCGGTGGTTTCCCCTTACCTTCCGCCGGTTTGTATATGGTTTGACTCCAGTAGCCTTTGTCAAAAGAGACTTGCCCTGCAAGGCAACAGGGGGGGGGGGGGGGGGAAGGTTATGGCGCCTCTTACCCGCCGATGGCCATGTCGTAGAGTTTTGAGGTATTTTATAAAGTTAGCTGTCCCACCAACTAACTCACCTCCTCTCAATGACCATCACCTGTTTTGGTCCACGGCCACTTATTCAATATATTCGTGGCTAACCCCTATCTCTAGAGGCCTTTCCACCATCCGCCACCTGGTGGACGCGCCTAGTAGTAGGAAAGGCTCCTACCTCCTACATATATTTTAAACGTTTAATTTGCTTCACTGGTTTTCTATGACTGGTTTACTACTGGTCAAAGTGAGTAAAACACGCAAATGGCATTTGTTTGTGTCGCCAACTACAAGTGTGTACACAGCTTTGCTGAAATGGGGTATAAATAAAGAGGTGAATTGCTACAGGAACATCTGCAAGATATACATTACAGTGGTAAGCTACAGGTGGTTCTACAGCAGATACTGAATTTGAGGTGTGAAGTGTTTTATTAGGCTTTAAGATATTCTAGACCTTGATATAAAGGTGGCCAGTTTCCTTTCTCATGATCTCCCATTTCAAAACAATACCAGCAAATTATCTGGTAGACAGTTTGCGAGGCTGCTGACCTTAGAGCAATAGTGTTCGAGGAAAGTCATCCTGCCACTGCCAGGGAGTGAACCAGTACCACTGTCATGGCAGACCAGCACAATACTGCATGAGGTAAGGTTTTAAGTTCCCATAGTCTCTTCACAAAAGGGTAGGTATTCAATGGTCAGACTGATATCATGC